AGTAAACAGAGTCAGAAACACTAGAGTCAACAACAGCATACATAGCATGGGGATTACCAATCAGATCAACTAACTGCTCAGCAGACATGCCCCACAGAGCGGAGCCGTAGCGCTGAACAAGAGGCAGCCAGTCAGGGGCAGGAGCACCAACCCCGTAGACCAAACGAACCGTGTCAGTGAGCTGAGCAAAGCACTGACCAGGGGGGTGAAACCGGCCACAAGGGTGGCCACGACGAGTGCCTGTCAGAACCTGGTAGGTGCAGGGAGTGTAAGCAGCACCGCGCTGGGTCTGACGCAGCCCCGACCCTGGAGCCAGCTGCTGCCGCTGCTGCTGCTGAGGCTGCTGGGAGGAGAGGGGCTGCTGGTGCTGCTGAAGCTGCTGCTGACGCTGAGCCTGGTACCACGCCGCTGCTCCACCAACCGGGGCAGGAAGTACAGGAGGCGACTGACGAACTCGGGCGTCGCCACCACCAGCAGGCGCAGTGGAGTCACCAGTCACTGCACGAGGCGCCTCTCCAGGCCCTGAACCTCCACCGCCGCCAGGCGCAACGCCACCTCCACTACCTCCGCCTCCACCTCCACTACCACCACCAGAACCGCCTTTCTTGCCACTCCTACCGCGGGACCGCGACGCAGTCGTAACAGCAGCTGCAGTCGCGTCAGTAGCGGCAGTGGCAAGTGAGGCAGTAAAGGTGGGTAACTGCGGGACTGTGCACCCGTGGAAGAGTGGGGGGGGCACAGCACCAGAGGCAGCGGCTACCGAGCGAAGGTTGCTCTCGACGTCCTTGAGTGCAGACTCAAGGACATCGACGGTGAGCTCACTAGGGTGCTTCAGCAGAAGCGCGTCGCGAACGGAGGCAAGGCGGTCAGGGAGGCTAGTGGCGATGAAATAGATAGTAATCGCCATAGGGGGAGGAAGCAGTGCAAGCTGTGCCTCAGTGCAAGCAGCGCGGTAACTAGCGTCGAGCGAGCGGAGGTGAGCGATCAAGTCAGCAGAGCGCTCAAAAGACGCTAGGTCAGGAAACAGGAACGGGAGGAACAGGCGGCCAAGAGAGACAGCAGCGGGAGAAGAGTAGCGGGCCTTAATCGCAGTGAGGTACTCAGCAGCGGTGCGAACCTGAGTGAAGTGAACCTCCTCAGACTCAGGGAGGAGGCTGCTGAGCGCGATGCAGGCCGCAGCGTCACGTGACGTCCAAGCCGTCTGGTCAGCTCGCTGAGTGGCAAAGCGGGCTCTAGCGGCTTCGTCAGGGGCAGGTCCTAAAGGCGTAGGGTCGGGGGGCGCAGGTAAAGCACCAGTAGCGTGCGCCCAGAGGGTCTCGCCTGCCTGGACCTGACTCTCTAACAGACGGCGAGCACGAAGAAGCCAGACGGAAAAATCAAGAGGTCTACCGTCAGCGTCGAAACGAAGCACACGCGGAGTCGCCATAGCGAGAACTAACGCTAGGGATACAGTGGCAGCGGAAGAGCAGGCTAGGGTTAAGACGACGGGCTGGGGAAAGGGGCGAGCCGCTACAGGGGAAAGGGCGGGCCGCTACAGGGGAAAGGGCGGGCCGCTACAGGGGAAAGGGGAAGGGGCGGGCCGTGACGGAGGGAAAGGACGGGCGGGACGCGACGGGGGGAAAGGGACCCAACGGGGGGGAAAGGACGGGTGGGACGCGACGGGGGGAAAGGGGCACGACGAGGGGAAAGGACGGGCGGGACGCGACGGGGGGAAAGGGACGCGACGAGGGGGAAAGGGCGGGCAGGACGCGACGGGGGGGAAAGGGACGCGACCAGGGGGGAAAGGACGGGCGGGACGCGACGGGGGGAAAGGGACGCGACGAGGGGGAAAGGGCGGGCAGGACGCGACGGGGGGAAAGGGACGCGACGAGGGGGAAAGGGCGGGCAGGACGCGACGGGGGGAAAGGGACGCGACGAGGGGGAAAGGGCGGGCAGGACGCGACGGGGGGAAAAGGCGCGACGCGACGGGGGGAATGGGCGGCGACGCGACGGGGGGTAAGGGCGGGCGCTACGGAACGAGGGGAACGGGTGGCGCGGACGGGCGCTAGGATTGGCGCTAGGCTCGGCACTACGCGCGGTAACAACGAAACCGGGACGAATGAGAGCTAGGATCAGGCTCGGGAGGCTCGAACGGAGAACGGAGGAACGGGATCCCACAGGATCCTAACCTAACTGATACCATGTCAAAATGAAGAATGGATGATGCATTGATGTTGGTTGGGGTACATATAGCTAACCCTAAGTTTTGTACCCCCTAAGACAAACCTCACTATAGGCTACAACATTTGACATGAATTGGTAACTTTGAACTTGAAATTAGATATTAGTGGTAAGTATATTAGGTCGATGCAAGGTAATTTTTCCTTGCATGTATTTATTTGTTTGGTTGTAGATTAGGTTGACGATGCACGGCAATACCAACGGCAAGGGTCAAAGCGAACTGAATGAATGGGGTTGCTTGTAGGGGAGCAAAATACCCAACCTCGAAGGAGAATCTGATTGATTGTAGTATTTCATATTGTTACTATTTATGAGGTATGTATTAGATTGCCATGATGACCACAGTACAAAAGCAGAATAATATATCCCCTATTGGTTTGAGACTAATGAATTGGTAACTTTGAACTTGAAATTAGATATTAGTGGTAAGTATGTTAGGTCGATGCAAGGTAATTTTTCCTTGCATGTATTTATTTGTTTGGTTGTAGATTAAGAATGTAGCTCAGCTGTAAAGAGTTCCGTTATGCGATGACTTTCAAAGTTTCCTGACCACATGAGGTCCAAGCGAAGATTTCGTGCGAAAGAGCTCGCACGGAGGCGTTCCACCTGTAACCTGCACTAGCCCCGAGGTTCGGAGCCACGATCACTCGCAAGCCAAACAGGTGGCGCGCAGACGTATTTTTCGCGGGTGGCTTACGCCACGTCAACAGATAAGAGCCGCATCACCCTCCACAACAATTTCTCGCGCACTTTCTGCCGTCAGATCGTAGTGCCACATTGTCCACGACCGTCCGTTCGTACTTGATTGGTGCATCCCTACCTGACCCGTATCCACTCAACTTGAACCCCAGAGATCCACGCCTGAGAGAGCCAGCTTTTGTGGGGTCCAGTCTAGGGTGTTTTCCCTGAGTTGGGGTTTCAGGCACTTTGTCTCCCAGCAGCTTTTGGTAGGCCTCCATCACTCCAACAGCCAAACACACACATCAACCATGGCTGCCTCCCTTGCCACCAAGGCCGCTGCCGTTCCCCAGGTATCCATCTCGGTAGAGCACTTCTGATTGGCTAGGGTTGGATTTGTGGGATGTTGCGCCGTGAATGTTGTAGTCCTGACTCGTTCGTTATGTCGTCCGTTTGCAGCTCGCGGCCGCTAAGGCCTCCGTCTTCGGCGATGCTAAGTCGCTGAAGACTGTCCGGACGGTCGCCGTTACCAGGAAGGCGTCCCCCACCGTTGCCATGGCCGGTGCCCCTTCTTTTGTGCCTGACATGACTCGCCGCAACATCATGAACCTTATCCTTGCTGGCGCCGTCGCGGTTCCTGGCACTGCCGTTCTCGGTGGCTGGCTCTACGTTCTTGTTCCCCCCAGGTAATGCGTTATCTTGTCGTAGCTGGTATTGTTGATCCAGCTGTTAATGGACGGCTTCTAACATATGCTCCTCTTGACTCGACAGCTCCGGTGGCTCCGGTGGTGGGATCGTGGCGCGTGATGCCTTCGGCCAGGAGATCACTGCCGAGCGCTGGTTGAAGACCCACGGCCCCGGTGACAGGACTCTTGCCGAGGGTCTCAAGGTGCGGCTTATTAGATGGCAAGTCATGACATATTCTTCCTTTTTGTCGTCACTTCGACTGATATGTTATCTCCGCAATTTGTTCCAGGGTGACCCCCACTACCTTGTGGTTGAGAACGACGGCCAGCTCGCGCCCTATGGTGTGAACGCCGTGTGCACTCATCTGGGTTGCGTCGTGCCCTGGAACCCTGCCGAGAACAAGTTCATGTGCCCCTGCCACGGTTCTCAGTACGACAACCAGGGCAAGGTTGTTCGCGGGCCTGCTCCCCTGGTAAGTAGTGCTAGTCCTGCCATTATCTTCCAACTGTCTTACAGAACTGGTCAGTGCATCTTTGGACACTTTCTGACTCTTGTGTTTCTCGTTTCAGTCCCTTGCTCTTGCGCACGTCGACGTTGTGGACGGCAAGGTATTCTTCAGCCAGTGGCCCGAGACCGACTTCAGGACAGGCGAACCCGCCTGGTGGGCGTAAGCTTCATTGATATGTACTGGATTATATATTACGATTGTAATTCAACATTTGTCGATGAATTAATTGCTTCGAATACTTCCAATCTGCGATTCTCAGTGCAAGAGTGCATTATGTTTCTTAGTTCGTGACGGATTAACCAGAAAATGTAGAGTGAAACATTTGGGGAATTTTTAACCGCTGGTAATCATCTTGCGAAATGCAAACCTGCTCATCAATGTGGAAAGTGTTAAAAACCATTTCTAAATTTTCATGGAGAATCTTTACCATCTTGCAATGTTAACTTTGTTTATTGCATGATGATACATCAGTCAAAACATTATAAACTTAGTTGACCCAAACAAATAGCTCTAAGGGCTGTAATCCTATATACAGCTACTCGCGCCTCAAAAACGAAGACGATAACGTCTTTCCTTGGGCAAAAATGGCATGTACAACCCTCCAGACGCTCAAAGGATTGAAGCTGACGGCTGCAGGAGCTCCCACGAGAACATGATTGCACTCTGCACCCAACCTCCTCCTCTCCAAGCGTCCCAGGAACCTAGAGTATACCAGATGCGCTGGGGCATCCGCTGTCAAAAACACGGGGCGAGAAGAATCCCTCGACCCTGCGGACAGGTGCGACGGCTGCGGAAACCCGACAGGAAACTGGGAAAATGTTCGCCGATGGCGAGTTCGACTGTAGGAAGTTGATATCTTTGATAAGCGGATTACTAGATCTACAAGGTGGAGTGAACGCCAAAGAGCTCAAGCTTCCACCGCCATCGCTCTGCACACACAAAAATAAACCGTGAGATGACAGATTCATAAAACTCAAAGTCTACTATCACTAGTAAAAATAGACGGCAGAAGAACATTCCAACAGACATACTTTTGATAGGAAAATGTCGAGAAGTTCAGAACCAATATCGTCATCTCCTCTACTGCACGACCTGAAATAAAGAGAAAATAAGAGACATATTAGATGGGTGTAAATACCTCATGGATTCCATCGGACATATAACAACTGAAAGTCGATAGCAAATGCCTAAATACTGAAATAAGAAAGCCTATCATGACTTACCGAAGGCAAGTATGCTTCGCCAAGTCTGACGGTGGAGAGAAAGCGCCTCCATACTTAACAGCCTGGGGCCTGACGACATGAGCAGTACAGGCCTCTGGTCTGAGAAGCTTAGGACAAGACATCTCGGCAACATCAACAGGCATGATGACGGTTTAGTGTGCTTTGAGGAGAATGATAGCAGTCTCAGCAGAGTCAACCTAGCACAAGGTATGTTGGCTTTGAACACGCAGCAGGAAGATTGAAGGCAGACAAGGGTTTCAAGATGATGAAGGCGAAGGGGTGAGAGACCCAACTTCAAATACCTGACAAGGCCTACCAAACCAAACCCCTGCCAGATCAACCACCGAAGCGAACCGTGAACAGTTCGAGGTCTTTGCTGATCTCGCTGTGCTGGCGTAGGTACGGCAGCAACTTACTCCACCGAACCAGAAGCCACAGAAAGTGCTGGATACGTGTGAAGATAGAAACTTTCACCTGCTTTGCTACACTTCAATACCGACCTGTAGCCAGGTCGTAATCTTATAAAAGCATCTTATACCCAAAACGTTAAGATGTAAATGCCTAATCTATTAGCAGCTACTAAATATTATAGGATATTGGATGGGAACCGGGCAGTTCCGTAAATGAAGTAGTAATTTCTTCGGTGCCAAAGCAGGCTCGGCAGGATGAGGGGTGGGTATGGGACTGCCATCCCACGCCGCTTCACTTCTCCATCGAGCCTCACTCGTGTTGATGCGTAAATCTAGTGGCGGGAAGGCTTGGGGAATGTCGAGGCTTGGCCACGAGGTAAATCACCTCGTTTGTCTGGTCTGGGTCACGTTGTCGCTTCCTCAATGGGCATTGATGTTGCGGGTCCCCTGCCCTCCCCGCTCTGTGATCTTTGATTTTGCTGCCCAACGAACCACCAACGTTGAACAGTGACTTGCGCTGTCTGGGTCATATGGAAAACTTGTCGCATTACCGCAGTATATCGAACACTGGAGGATAATTTCTTTCTGCACTCGATCACCGTGCGTAAAACGGAACTAGCTGTTACGAGTGCAATTGAGGGAGCGAACGAAGATTGCACTATCGAAGCAAGAGTACAATGAGCGAAGGCATGAGCGAAGGATTATATAGCGAAACTACAGTGGTAACGGTAATGTGTGAAAATGGGGTGCGCGACGGGCCTAGCGCCGTGGTTGGGAATTGTCGAGGCGAAGGTCCGGAGCGCGGGTTACCAACCGAGCCGTGAGGTTGGGTCGCGTCGTGAACAGTGGCGGGAACAGTACCGAGGCGAGTGTCGCGAGTGGTAACGGATTACTGTTGGGTGCTGTTGGCGGGAACAGTGCTGTACGCGCTGAGCAGGGACGCGAAGTAAGGAAAAGGAATTTTCCTTACACTACCCCCCCCCCCTAAGGAGGTCCTCCTTACGAGAGCGCGTGTACATCCCGGAAATTGCGGCTTCGCAGGTACTCGGTGAGGACAGGGTGATTCTCAATTCTGTCCAGGGGAACCCAGTTGTCCTCCGTGGGCGTGCGATCTTTCCAGCGGATCAGGAATTCGATTCTGCGGGCTCCCCGTGGGTCACGTACTCGATGGCTTAGGATTTTCTCAGGCATGATGATTGGCTCCGTTGGTGGTCGTGTCATGCTGGCTGGGCGGTTGCGAGGCAGTTGGCTGGTGGATGGCACGTATGGGCGGAGCAGGCTTACGTGGAACGAAGGGCTGACGTACCAGTCAGCAGGGAGGAGGAGGTGGGCGGTGACAGGTGTGATCATGTGGCCGATGCGAAATGGCCCACAGTATCGGGGGCGGATTTTCGGGGTGACGGGTAGGCGGAGGTTGTGGGTGTCGAGTAAAACTAGGTCGTCGGGCTGGTAAGTGACGGGGCGGCGGTGTCTGTCGGCGTTACGCTTAGCGATGACGTTTGATTTTTTTATGGCTTCTGCTGCTCGGGTCCGGGCTTCCTGTAATATTTCGGCGAACTGTTGTGCACGTGGAACGGGGTTGTCGGGATTCGGGGTCATGGGTACTGTGGGGTCTTGTCCGTAGTTCAGGTAAAAGGGTGACTGTTGGGTGGTGGCGGATGGCGAATTGTTGTAGGCGAATTCGATGAGTGGCAGTTGCTGTTCCCAGGTGGTTGGATCGTCACACGTGGCTCGGATGAGTTGCTCCATGGTCTGATTGGTCCGTTCTGTCTGTCCGTCAGTTTCGGGGTGGTATGATGAGCTGAACTGTAGTCGCGTGCCAAACTGCTGCCACAGGTTTCGCCAGAAGTTGCTGGTAAATTTCGTGTCGCGGTCGCTGATGATTGCTGCTGGTATCCCGTGCAGTCGTACGACGGTGGCGATGAAGAGGCGGGCTGTTTCTTCGGCTGTGATCGATTTCTTGCAGGCTGCGAAATGCGCCATTTTCGTCAGTCGATCGACGACGACCATGATCGCGTCGTTCCCACTCGCTCCGGCCGGTAACCCCGTGACGAAGTCCATCGTCACCTGCTGCCACGCACGCTCTGGGGGTGGTATCGGTTGCAACTGTCCTGCCGGCCGCTTCCGTGACGATTTCATGAGCTGGCAAGTGGGACACGATGCCACGTGTCGCTGTACGTCGGTCAACATCTCGGGCCAGTAATAATACCGCTGCAGCTGCTGCCGTGTTTTTTCTACCCCAAAATGTCCCGAGGTAACTCCGTCGTGTGCCTCCTGTAGCAGTAATTCCCGTAGCAGGGTGTACATTGGTACCCAAATGCGGTCAGTTCCGGTTTTTACGTAATAGACTCCTCGTGCTGTTGCGAACTGCTGCGAGTTTCCTCCGGTGAAGAAAGGGTCTGTTTGATAACCGTGGGTAAATAGTCTTGTTAACAGTGGGCTGGTCTGGGCGAGTAGGATTGCGTGGATGTGGGCGGTGGGGCGGGTCAGTGCGTCTACGAGGTTGGATGCTCCCTTTTCGTAGGTGACCGTGTCGTGAAAATTGGACTCGAGGAAATCGAGCCAGCGAATCTGTCGTGGGTTGAGGTGAGGCTGTGCGCGAAGGTACTGTAGTGATTTGTGGTCTGTCCGTACTGTCACGTCTGCGCCGGTCAGGTAGCAGCGCCACACTTTGAACGCGTGCACGATCGCGAGCATTTCGCGGTCGTGTATCGGGTAATTCTTCTCGGGCGGATGCAGTTTTCGTGACTCGTATGCGATGGGCTGTAGGCCGTTGCCGAAATCTTGTAGCAGTACTGCTCCAATAGCGATGTCGCTCGCGTCTGTAATTACTTCGAATGGGCGGTGTGGGTCGGCAATGCGCAGGACGGGCGGTGAACAGAGAACAGTTTTCAGGGCAGAGAAGGCAGCTTGCTCTTTCTCCCCCCACGTAAAAACGACCCCCTTCCGCAGCAAATCCGTCAGTGGGGCTGTTAAGCGGGCCATGTCGGGGACGAACCGACGGACGTAATTAACAAACCCCAAAAAACTCTGCAGCTCGGTGATGTTGGTCGGGGGGTGCCATGCCTTGACCGTATCCAGCTTCCGTGGGTCAATCTCAACCCCAGCCTCCGAAATAACGTGTCCCAGAAACTCTAACCTATCCTGAAAGAATTCGCACTTAGACCCCTTGGTCAGTAACCTATGCTCCTCTAAAATCTTAAACACTGCTTCGAGGTCCGCTAAATGCTGCTGCTTATCGCGACTGTAGACGAGGATGTCGTCGAGGTAGACTATCACGCACTTATCTAAAAGCGGCCTAAACGCCTCGTTCATGGTCATTTGAAATGTCGCAGGTGCGTTGGTCAGCCCGAAGGGCATTACGGTGTACTCGAACGACCCGTATCTAGTCCTAAAAGCTGTCTTGGCACAGTCCGATGGTTCGACCCGAATCTGGTGGTAACCTCCCCGTAGATCTATTTTCGAAAAAACCCGTGCTGTTCGCAGTTGGTCGATCAGTTCGTCGGCGCGGGGGATGGGATATCGCGATTTAACTGTAACCCTGTTGAGCGCTCGGTAATCGATGCACATGCGAAACCCTCCGTCTTTTTTCGGTGTGAACAGTATCGGTGCGGCGAACGGTGACGAACTCGGTCGGATAAACTGCTTCTCTAACAGGTAATCTAACTGCTTCCTCAGTTCGTCGAGCTCTGGTTGTGTCAGTCTGAACTGGCGCTGTACGGTTGGCTGTGCCCCCGGTTCTAGTTCTATCCTATGATCGTGCGCCCGCTGAGGTGGCAGTCCCGCTGGGGTGGCAGTCCCGCTGGTAAGTCGTCGGGAAATATCCCCGGGTACCGTTTCAACAGCTCCTGTAGTTCGGGCGGTACCGCTGCCAGCAGTTTCTGAAAATCGCTCGGCTGCTCGGCTTCTCCCACTTCTGCGATGTCCACTGCGTACACGTCAGCTCCAGCGGCGACTGCCCGTTTCATGGTGATGGCGTTGACGTGGACCGTTGAAGACTCAGGCGACTGCCAGCGTGGTAGTTCGACCCAGTTTCCACTACTTCGCACAGTGCAGCTGCCTGTCGTCCAGTCGATTCGCGGGTTATACCGTCGCAGCCAATCACGTCCTAGTAAAATATCGTGCCCATCCAGTGTCGTCGCGAGCATTTCCTGTGTAAACCCGAAGTTCCCCCCGCAGCGAACTTTTACCCTCGCCACCTTTTCCCGTATGGCCAGCGGCGTGCCGTCGACTAAGCGTGCGTCTACCTCAGGTAAGCACCGGCTGAGTGTCAGTTGCAGTTTCCGTGCGGTTGCAGTATTAACTAAGCTATGGCTTGCTCCTCCGTCGATAAAAATCTTCACTGCTGCTCCCTGTATTTTCCCGTAGATCAGTATTGGGCAATCCGTCGCTGTACCCTCCTTATTCATCCGAGCCCGATCGATGGCGTGAATCGGTACTGTGACTCGGTGAGGGTCGGTGCGGTTGGGCGAGCAGGCAGTCTCGTCAGTAGTTGGCCCAATTTCTACTGACTGCTGGCGTTTCCCTGTCTCTGAGACTCCCTCCCCTGCTCTGCTCCGCGGCGCCTCAGCTCCTCTGGGCACTCACTCTTGCGATGGCCCGGCCTGTTGCAAGCAAAGCAGCGCCCCTTAAACGGCGCGGCAGCTGCATTCGTCGCAACGGCGTGTACGGTGGCGTGCTCGATCGATCCCCGAGGACGATGTCCGTAGTAGGACCCCAGTCT